TAAGAAATTGACTCATTGATAACATTTTTTGGACCAGTATTTCAGAAGTTGTTAATAATTTAAAGTTAAGACTGTAGGTAAGAATAGGTGCAGCTATATATGTCACTAGTCGTTTCCCCCTCGTAATCTTCCTTCCGCCCAGATATAAAAATGAGAATAACTTCCAAAAGTTGTTATAGTCTAGTTATTTTCTTAATTGGATTATTTTCTAATTTATAAGCCATCTAAATATGTATGTTGCCATTTAAAATAAATATAGTTTAAAAAAACTAAAAAAACACGCTTTTAAAGCACATCGAACTAAAAAGTTAAAAATAATTTTTGAAATAAGTTTAAAATAATTATGAACAAAAAATACTAGTATTATTGTGATAAAAGCATCGGGCGTTCAATATATACAAAATATGGTACAATGCACCCACGCTTTTATCACAATAATACTAGTATTTTTTGTTCATAATTATTTTAAAAATCATTTTTAACTTTTTAGTTCAATGTGCTTTAAAAGCGTGTTTTTTTAGTTTTTTTAAACTATATTTATTTTTCACTTTTTAGTTTCATGTTATGATAGTAGTTACTATCAATATCATGGTTGTAACGGGTAACGGGAAATCAGGGTTCGATTCCGGGGAGGGTGTCTGAGAAACGGCTACCACATCCAAGGAAAGCAGCAGGCGCGTAAATTACCCACTCCCGGAACATGGAGGTAGTGACGAAAAATGACGATACTGGATTCATCCTTTGTAATCGGAATGAATGAGTTCTATATTTTTAAATAAGAATAAAGTGTGTTAATATATATTTTTAATAGTAATTAGAATATATATATATATATATATATATATATACATGTAAAGCGACTTAAGTACGTAAACGTATCATGCATTAGGTATAGCCGTGTTTTGTGAGCGGGCGGGTCGGACTAACGTTATACCTGAGGTATAAACGGCGGTAGGAATATATACGTAAGCCGTATGTACTTGGATGATAATGGTCAGTCAAAATAAAAATTTGTTTATACATATATAGAGATGTGAGTCGGTATTATACATTTGTATTATACGGTATGATACACGCGTATAAAATTATTTTATACCGGCTGTATCTAAAAAAAAAAAAAAATGCTTTATCAACATTTATATTCTTTTGGATTTGATTTTAATTGATATACGCAATTGTAATTAATGATATAGATAGATTGCATTATTAGATTTAAATGTATCTATAATCGTGAATATTATTGTAGATTAATAGATATATTTTTAAAACATAATTAGTTGTCAGATCCGCCAGGGAAACATGGTTATCATAACAAACAAAAGCAATTGACTTGTGTACGGTATAACCGTGGTCTCAGTATGTTTTTAGTATTACCACACAATAATCTTGTCACATTTTAAGCGCCAACGCATGTCGGTTCAAATGGAAGAAAATAAAAGCACAGAACAGGTGAATCTGTTCTGTGGTAAAAGTATTTTGTTTTGTGATTTAAATTGTTTAAGTTTAAAGTATTATTTGCAAATTACGAACTAAGATGGGTCGTCCATCAAAGCAAAAACGAGAATGAAACAGATGAACTATTTGATAATGTCATGACATATACAAATTAAGATTATAAAATATTTCATACTTTATAAAAATTAATTCTTAGTATTCTGTGATACTAAAATTTATAATCGATAAGGTGCTTAAGTTATTTTTTTTAGGAGGGGTGAATGCGTATAACAGTCTAGTCTAGACGACGGAATATGCGATAACGCGTGGCGTTTGGAGAGTTACAAACATACATACAGGTGAAACTAATATAAGCGTGTTAAAAAGGATGATTCTAAAAAGTAATTTAGAGTTAATAATCAAGATGTATACGTAATTAAAAATGTCAAAAAATTGTTTTCCAACATTATTTATTTTGTGAGTAATCGAATTATTTATGATAAACCAATCACTCTGTATTTATAAATTGCTTTACAACTGTGTTTATTTAGTAGCGTAGCCAGTATTACAAAAATGGGGCATAGTAAAAAAATCTACAAAATTTTTATTTACCAAAATACCAAGGTGGAAAGAGTTTTACACCTTATCCTATGCTGGCTCCCCATAATGAGGTTGCATCAGGTAGATAGACGGTGTAAAGTACTGTCAAATCGTAAGGTAGAGCAAACTACAAACTGATAAGAGAGGATTTTTGTATTGAAACAATCGGGATTAGAACCGGCTATAGTATAGTTTTATAACTTCATTTACAATAGGAATATTTAAATCAGAGTGTAGAGTATGATTTGAAACATAAAAAGTAGCTTTGGTAATTAATAGTAAGATTTTTAGATTGGAATCTTTGGATACGGTTTGTGTTTGAGATTTTAGTAGCATCCTAAAGCTGTACTACAGAAGTTTCAGTAATAGTTTGTAAAGAAGTACTTTATTATTTATGTTAATGTATTGGGAAGTTAATAGTGGATGAAGGAGACGGAAATAATTCTTGTGATACATCCATATAATATAATTTTTTTTCTACGGCAAACATAATCTTATTAACTAAACAGTGTACTTGGCAGTTTGTGGATGCTGGTGGTGCGGGTACGACTTTAAATATAATACCGCTAGTCACAGATTTTCATATCTGTCATTACTTTTTTTCAGATCTCACAGGACCGTTTTCTTTCAACGATATGTTAAAAGATTACTAATCGTATCTAATTGAAGACATTGTTCTTAAAAATTTATAAAAATTTCATCGTTCCCTGTAAATGGGGGAAATCCCCTAAAAAATTACCATTTTTAAAAACGGTAAATTTCGGCATTTTTAAACTTTTTGTACTTATTTTAATGTATTTTAATCACTGCCAGATATAATCTATACTTGCTCCAACTATGCCACGTCCACACTGTGACACGACCCCACTGTGCTACCGTTTTTTATATAACCCTTTCATCCTACTTACTTTTTTTTAATTGGACCATTTTTTTTATACAGCAGGTGTCATAACTTTAAATATGTGTATAGAAAGTAGAATTTTTTGGATTTATTAATTAAATGAAAAGGTGGAGAGTTAAATTTTTTAATTTATCAGAAATATACATACCCGAACGTGAGTGTGTTTCATACATTTCAAATAATTCGAACCACAGATAGCAACACAAAATGACAATTTTTAATATTATAGTTACGGATTAGTTAATATCCCAATGATTAAATAGATTTTGATGAAGAACTGGGGGTTATAAGAGATACAGCTAGATTTAATGGTTATAACGAAAACGTAATTTCAAATTTAGTCCAAACACAAAAGTGGAATAAAGAAAGGAGACTAGTACACTCACTAGCGTGGGGAACAAAAACGAATTAAATCGCCAATTTTATATTATACGGGTATCTCAAATAGACTAGCAAGAATTTTTAAGAATATTGGTACTACTTTATTAACATTTAAAAGTAATAATTTAAGAGATTTATATGGTAACCCTAAAGTAGAAGAAGGGGGAAGATCGGACATTTAAAAACTACACTGTGAAAGTTGCAATAAACGTTAAGTAGGATAAACAAAAGAAATATAGGGATTAGGTTTAAAGAACACTTAAGAAATATTAAAAATCAAGAAGTTGATAAATCTCTTGTAGCTGAACATTTATTAACATAATCATTTCATTAAAATCATAAAATTAATTAAAAATGTAAATAATTATAAAGAAGTTAATGAAATACTTAAAAATAAGAATATTTTAATAAATTGGGATCTTGGCCCACTGGAAAATTCATCATTAAACATGTGTAAACTGGCAAAATGTGACAATCGGCTACATGATAAGATCTAGTGATAACGTCACTATTAATAAGATCACTAAGGGTATATAAGGGAGTATTTTTCGGTGACAATGTGTTAAACGTTGAAAATGTAAAATACACGATGCTAAATTAATTTTTGTGACTTTTGAATTATTTTCAAATAATTTAGTTTTAAATTAATATTTTAGATATATTTTTAATTTTAAATAAAATGTTTCCAATTGACAATAGTGCTTTTAAATTTTGGGTTTGAGAAGTTGTTAACTAAATACATATGCTGCTATCCGTTCACGTTACTATGTATGAGTACATTCCTTATGCATAGTAATAGTTATAAAAAACCTTTCTTGAATTATTTTAATAATTTTTAGTTATTTATTAAAAATATACTAAATAATCAAAATTTTTATTTTAATTAAAAATAGATAAAAACATGACTTTATTTATCTTAAAGAATTACTGACGTAATCAAATTTGTTCATTTTTATATTTAAGTAAGTTAAAAATACCGTCACGCGGATAATTTAATTTTAATAAAAAACATTTTTAGTCATAAAATATATACAGTATGATTCTATTAAAGTTATCTACTTGATTTCTCTTAAATAATAATTATCTTAAAAATATTTATGATACTTTTTAGTGTCGTATATATTGTACTTCTCGATAAATCAGTTATTTATTACTTTTTTTTATTCTTATAAGGGTTTCAACTTAATGTATTTAATTAGCAACATACATATTTAATTAGCAAGACAAGAACAAATATTTCTCCATTACTTCGAAAATTATTACCATTTTAAAATATAGACTGGAGGTGAGGCGAGATAGACGATATTCATCATTAGACACATTTTGACCAAAACCTTCCTCCAGACTAGGTATAAAAATGATAACTTCCGAAATACAGGTCAAAAATTTTGTTTTATCAGACATTTTCTTAATATGATTATCTTTATATTATTAGATAATTAAATATGTATATTGCTATTTAAGAAAAATTAAGTTAAAACCCATATAAAGAATAAGGGATGAGTTAAAAAAGTAATTAGTGTCTAATAAATTCAGAAAATGTTCACACTAAAAAATATAAAAAATAATAGTCTTGACATAATTATTATTTTAAGAAAAATTGAGTACCTAATGTTAAAACAATCACCGTGTACAAGTTAAATATATTAGGTATGTTATTGAGTATTTAAATGCCATTGTTGAACACATTTTTAATAGGTCGTAAACGAAAATTATACTTTTGCTATAATGATACGTCACATAGTATTCCAAACTATTTTTTTTGCATTATTGTATCAGCTAAATTGTCAGTCATCGAAAATGGTAAGCAGACTGAATTTATTTAAATATTTTACTAATATAAGGTATATATAGCATAGTATACTTGCTCTTTATATTTTAGCTTCAATACAAAGCTGAGAAGTTATTAAATTTACTATGATGTATTTTTTTTTATTTTTGTCTATCGCCACTTTTTCTCAGGTCTCATCGGATCGATATGATTCAACGATACGTCAAAAGATCACAAATCTTAACTAATTGAAGGCATTGCCCAAGAATTGAAAATTTTGCCCTCGTTTCATATATTTGGGGGAAATTACACGATTTTTAAAATTGGTAAATTTAGACATTTTTTAAACTTTTTTTTTCTTAAAAATTCCATAAGTTTTTTATATAAAAACCTTATGTATTTTCCTATTATTTGATATAAATTTGTTGAAAATCTGACCCTTTACATGCTCACAGGCGGGGATTCAAATAGCAACTTCAAATTAAACTTTTTCAACTTAAGTTTTGAAAATGTTCCGGAAATACTCCGAACTTCAAACATAAGTTAAAATAAAGCTTGTATTATGTACTATACGATCAAAAAAAACTTTATAAGGGTTTGCCATAGTAATGATTCCACGAATTTTTATACAATTTACAGGAATCAAACTTACTTGAAGTATAAATTTATACTTATTTTGATTATTTTGCCTCCTCAAAGTTATGAAAAGCTACTTTGAATTTTTGAACTATCTTAAATTGTCAGCTTTAGTTAATATCCGTGTAATTCACGTTGGCTGCGTATAATATAATACATTTGGGGTATAAATGTTCGAAGTAACTTTTATTGTATTTTTTCTTAATTCTTTTTTGAGATGAAAAAAAAATTCAAAGTTCGTTTGATTTTTATCTCATTTAAATTGAATAACTTGAATAATAATTATTCTCAATTCTCACTTGACCAATTTGAAAGACCAATACGTTAAAAGAACACGATTTTAATCTTGTTAAACTAATAATCAACAAATGTTGGAAAAAATCCTTTAATTTTAGAAATTCAGACAAATATCTCAAAATTACGCTATTGTATAAATTGGCCACTTTAAAAAAAACCTTTATTTAATTAAACATCTTCAAATTAATAGGAGTATAAAATTCGTTTTTATACTAAATTACACAGTAAAATAATATCAATATTATAAAATATTTTTTAGTGATTATAGACTAATATACAGAGTGATTCATTAAGAATAAGACACTCATTTTCTCGGTAACTATTGAAAATTAAAAATTTTTAGTAAGAAAATATTGTTTTATTCAAATAACTCTACAATAATATTTAGTAAAATCATATTTTTTTTTATTCCTTCAAGGTTAAAAATCATTAATTTGAATTTTTTTAAATGGGAACCCCTATTTTGAATTTGTTATTATGATTTAAAATAAAAGTATAAACAACTTTGCTCTTATAATTTTTTATTCCGATCAACCGTTTGTCTGTTACAGTTTGTTAAAGTTAAATGATTTTGTACTAAATTTCTATTATTTTACTGTTTTGAATATAGAAGTCACTATTTTTATTATAACCTAATTTTTATTGACCAAGATATGACATGTAAGATAGCAATAATAATTTACGACACACTAATTGAGAGATAATAATAATAGATTCAAATCAGGCCTTAACTATATTATTAATAACACAGTCTATTGGTTTGTACGACAAACTGCAATACTAAAGAATCAATTTCTTTGAAAACCCCAACTTTATGTGTAGTACAGTGACTTTTAATAATTGAATACTACAATAATACACAAAGTAATCTTTATTTTTGTTGACGGATACGTATTAAAATTTGTAGCATAACCTCATAAACTGAATTAAGTTAGATTATTTTATGTTACACCATAGAAAATGAGTGACTCCTGTATTCAAAACAGAAAATAATAATAGGACTTTAGTCTAAAATCATTTAACTTTAACAAGCTGTAACAGACGAACGGTTGATAAAAAAAAAAAATTATAAGAGCAAAGTTGTTTATACTTTTATTTTAAATCATAATAACAAATTTAAAATAGGGGTTCCCGTTGAAGTAAAATCAAGTTAATGTTTTTTAACCTTGAAAGGATGAAAAAAATTATGTTTTTACTTCATATTTTTGCAGAGTTTTTTGAATCAAACAATATTTTCCGTGACAAATTTAAAATTTTCAATAGTTACCAAGAAACTGAGTGTCTTATCCTTAATGAATCATTCTGTATACTTTACCTAATCAAATTTTTACGCTGATTTCAAGTCATAAAATAGATTTTTTCAAACACTTCTTTTTTGAGATTATTACTAATTAGAAACATATGAAAATATTAATTTAAAAAATTTTTTTATCAAGTTATTATTGATTTTTAATATGTTAAAACTAATACGTGCAAAATTTCAATTTAAAAATGACATTTTTAACTTATTTTTTTAATCTTTTAAAGTTGATTTATATGGATGTTCAAAATATTGAACTTTTAAACACAATTTTAACTCAACTTGCAAGTTTAGAATTTATAACATTAAATAGAAAATTCTACGTGGAATAAAATGTCCTGTTTTTTAAATTGATATGTGACCAGAAAATTATTTAATTACTACTAACAGTAATTTTTCCGTAAAAATTACCATACTAAATTATTAAATATCAATTTCATACTATATTTAATTGCTATAATAAATATTTATTCATATATTACAATTATGCATCATAAAACTTGTAATCAGAATATAAACATTTTGCTTTTTGCATAATCCATCAATTTTTGAAAACTAAACACTATCTACAGATTAGCATTGAAGGGTTTCTTATTTTAATCACTGTTAGATATCATCTATAATTGTCCCAATTATACCACCACCACTTATTGTACCATGACCCCACTGTGCTACCTTTTGTTTTAAATTAATGTTTTATGTGTAGTCACTTGTTTTATACTAATTATCATGTAATTGTCTAAAAACGGGAGGTGATAGAAAAAATCTAATTGCAGCGCTAAAAATTGATTTATTAATTTGATTTTTAATTAGTACATTTTCGTCTCTGACGAAAATCTTATAAAAGTTTATTTTATAGACCAGTGTAATTGTGAATAGAGCATAGAATTATACACATTTTTAACAGAATATTTTTATTGAAAATCTGACTATAGAAGAAAAGATGTCGGGACAATTTTTTTTTTTTAGCTCGGAGTATTTTCAAAAGTTATTTCGAAATTAAACCCTTCTTAGCTTTGTATTGATGATAGAAATTTTTTTAAGAATATCTGTTATTGTCTAAATGTTTCCACTTTGAAGTGATATCATTAGATTTGCTCTCGCTAAATAAATAAAACAGTATGTAAATTTAGAGAATAATATAATATTTTATAAATTTATTACATTATGTATAAACTTATACATGTATCCTTTTTTTTCTATAGCAATGTAAAAAAAATGCTCATTTTTTAATGCTAGTAAATGATATTTTTGAAGAATATTTACTTACGGATAAAAAACTTCAAGAACTTTTGGAACAAAATGAGAGGGATGAAAAATTTTTGATTCATCGAGACAAAAACCTTAAAGTTAAAATATGGAAATTAGGATGCAAGTACACAGAACTTTGCCTTTATATAATGTACCACATCAAATTTGACATGGTAGATAAAGATGATATAAATTATGATGTGCTAGAGGTATTTAGGGTAATTTTACATCGCATTCTATCGATATACTACTATACAATAGGTTTTACTACAAAAGAGATTTGGTACACATCAATTACTATAAATGCATTGTTTGAAAAAAAAATAACACCAGTAGAAGTTAACTTTTGTTATATCTCAAATATTTACGACTTTTGTAAAGTGAGCTTTTACCAAAATAATTTACAAAATTTTCCTAGAACATATGATAATTACCCTGATCTTAGTACAATATACGAAATATCAAAACAATTAAAATTGTATTCCGATTTTTATCCTGAGACATTTAACGAAATTTATCAGTATGAAGACGTATCGAATGTTTATAGCTTTTTTTGGGATAACACTGATGGTTATAAGACATTCATTCCTCCTAAAAAAATATTTCCAAGTTATAATGAATATCATATAGCACAGACATATTGGACAGCGTGCAAAAATTGGAAAAGAAAATATAATGATTTGTTGTTATATACTGACGCTATAAAGAGAAATTTGTTTCTGGTAACTTATTTTTATTTGGCTCTACATAGTATTTATCTTATAAATTGCTTTTCAGAAGATTTTAACAGAGAAGATTTTTTGAATTTATTTAAAATCCCATTAAACACAATAAGTGAAATCGGTGTATTTTCAGGCGAATTGTTTCAAAAACCATTTATGGGTTTCGTAGATGACATGAAAAATGATAAAATAATTAACCAGCAAACATTAATAATGTATACCACTAAAGTCATACACTCTTTCAATATACAAGCACGAGTTTTTAGCATTCCATATCTTAATTTATCTAACTTAATACGTAATAATTCAAAAAAAAATCTATTTATTCATTCAACAGTAGAAGAGCAGTTAAAGTTGTATGCTAGTGATTTGCAAAAGTATTTTGAAAATGTAAGAGCTGGAATGGCACCCGTTGATTTTATTATTTTAAAAGTATTTAAGTTTAGTCATGAATATAATCGTATTTAATTATTACTTAGTAATAAATAAATACAAGTAGTTGTAAAATTTTGTTGCATTTATTTGGTGTTTCCCTTGTATTTTTGATTTTTGTATAATAAAATTTAGGCTTTTCAGTCATATACTGTAAGAGATGATCCAAAAATGATCATACGCCATATTGATAATTTTAATATACAATTTAGTTTTACTTAATAGTGGTACTCTTAATATACGATTAAATAATATTTTCCCATTTGGAGCAAAATAGGAAATGTTTCTTCTTAGCATACACTCAGACTGGTTCACTGTGCTACAGTGGCCCAAAGATTATTATGTCTACGACAGATTGACCAAGTACCAGGGGCGGATCCAGAATTTATTCCAGGGGGGGCGTCATTACATACATTTTTTTTTTTTTTAAGAACTGATTTATTATTTTGTATTTATTACATTACACGTTTTTATTACATGATTATTACATTTCTATTTTTGAAAATTCGTTTAATGTATACTGCATAATAATGTTTTTAATTACTATAGTATATGTTTTTTGATGACTTTAAGGACATAGGTATATAAAAATAAACTCGTTAATCAAAATTAATTGCATATGAAGAACTTTATTTGAAATTAAAAGCTATTTAACAAATAAAAACAAAATATATATTTCTTACAATATTATAACTTAACACCTAAGTTTGTAACAAATACTATTAAAATAATTGAAGAATAAAATCTACTTTTCTTTTTTTGTTATTAGCAAATTNCTCATGATTACTCCATTATTCGTTCCACACTTAATATCCCTACTCTTAGTTCCAGGCGATTTGATGCAGACCGTTCATTTATCGATGCTCTCCTTAATGGTCTAATTGATGTACCAGACCTTTTGTCTTCTATATCCTTTCGTGTTTCATCCTATCCCACTAGAAATCACTTTCCCTTTCATATTCCCTCTCATCATACCTCCTATAATAATAGTAATCCAATACACAGAATGCTACGCTCTCTCAATAATACTTAGCTTTTTGGTCACATTTACTTTTATAAAATTTAACTGTCTTATATTAATTATATATTACATTTATCTTATAAATCTTAAATTTATTGTCATTATTTTGTTGTCATAGTTTCTTACTCTATGTTTTACATATATGCATGTATATTTTTTTTTCTATTCATTTTGTTATATTATGTTATATATTTATATTACCATAATATTATTCCTGTAAATTGCTGTTTGGCGTTAAATAATTAAAATAAAATAAATAAATAAATAAAAAAACTCAGCACAGTGGGGTCGCAGCACAGTGGGGACGTTGCATAGTTGGGTCCAGTATAGATTTAATCTGACAGTGATTAAAATCACTATCATAAGAAACGCTTCGATGCAAATCAGTAGATAGTGTTTAATTCTAAGAAATTGGTGGATAATTACAAAAGCTGCATGATCTGCTAGTTCCTTATTAATACCCTGATTAAGATAAAATATGTCGAATAAAAAAGGGATTATTAAAAAATATTATTTCTCATAAAAAAATTGTGTTGATTCATACACTTTTCAATGAANTTTCTCATAAAAAAATTGTGTTGATTCGTACACTTTTCAATGAGTTATAGCATTATAAAGTTAAAAATGTAACCAAACCAACCCAACATCAACTCCTATTTCCTTAATTATATCCAGATTAGTAATTCGTTTAATTATATATTACATATTTTTTATAATTAATTATTTTCAAATTATTATCGATTTTTAATATGTTAAAAGTAATCATTTTGAACCTACTTCTTTTTGTTCTTTAAAGTGAAAGTTTTAATAAAAAAAAATGAATTTATTACCATAACTTTTAACTCAACTTGCAAGTTTGAAATAAATATTATTAAATAGAAAAAAATGAAATTGGTAGATTATTTCAAAAACAACAATAACACTTATTCCCTTAATTTTACCCCGATTTATAACTATAATATATGAATACATAATAATTACAGTAATTAAATTGAGTATGAAAGTGGTATTCAATAATATAATATTGTAATTTTTACGAAGAAAACTTAAAAATAAAAAGGAGATGTATATTCATATACTNGCTATCTTTTCATGATTACTGTGTATACATATGATGATAGTGTGTATACATTACAAACTTGGCATAAATATCATGATAAGAAAATAGACAAGGCAATTATTACTTATCACTCTCATTCAAAAGTATATTGAAAAGATAGCGTTTTCTTCTGTCCTTTTCTCAATACGTATTTTAATGTTTAATACTGTAAGTAAAATAGTACATGAAAATTCAAATTTTCACAAACTTCAAAACGCTACAGAATATTTACTACTGAATATTAATAAGATATTTTTTTACTAAAATTTTTCTTAAATTCTACTCTACAAAATAGCTATCTTAGATTTTTTTTTTACATTTTATTTAAAATTTAAAAATAATTAATATTTTTAATAAAATGTAAAAAAATTAATTATTGAGATATAGCTATAGACCTAACGTATAACTATTATTTAAAAAAAAAATCAACTAAAAATATTAACTGGATCAAAAGTTATTTAAGTTGTCAGTGAGTGGTGGGCCAC